CTGATGAGAAGATGGCAATTTGCATTCTGCAATGTAACATTTTATAGCTAAAACTGCGTGTGAGACATTGATAGGTGCGTTTTCATAGATCAATTGATCTGAACAATCGTCTTCATTGTCTGATTCTGATTCTTGATCCGAAATATTCATTGGAGAAGAAGAATTGGAATAGTTATCTTTCTCGCTACTTTCATCTGTGTCATACGAATCTGATTCATGATTTGCATCATCACTCGTCTGATCAAACATTAGAGCTAAAGTATCATTGTTTTTTCTGTTGTTGATATCAGTAGTGGTAGCACCTAAAGTCGTTTTTGGTGCATATAGAAGTTGACGTTGTCTTGCACGATATCGATGCTGACCAGCTAAATTACCATCACCGTCTAATGACAGAAAATTAGTTAAGTGTAGTTAATCCACTTCCAGCTATTAAACCAAATGTTTTGGTACGTACTATAGGACGATCAAATATATCACGATCGGCATAAATTTGTTGAGCATATTCAGGACGCCAAAATACATAATTGTGATTTGTACCAATCCAAAACTGAAAAATATCTCCATATAGTTTTTTTCATTTTTTCGCAACCATGGATATATGAATCAATCCATTCTTTGTTTATTGTAGTAATACCAAGTTGATGAAGATTGCCAAATAAGAATTCTGGGTTTAGACCAGGAACTGGACCACGTACTGTATAGCATTTCCATTTTATGTAAAAATAGATCGCAATTATCGATAGTGTGATCAATGATAAAACAACAGTCCAAAACATAATCTGAAAAGAAATGTAAATTTTATTAAAAGCGACAATGGAAGCATCACATGATTGAGTAATGCTTTTGACGGCTGATGCTGCAGTCTCGCAGAAACGCTTGTGTATTATGGTCCGAATATATTTTGTACCTGTTAGTATGGCATAATCAGACAGTTAAGATTACAAATTCAATTCTTTTGAATAAAAGCGCAGAAGATTGGTTTAGCAAATTTTCACAAGAAAAGTATAGTATAGAAGTATAGAAGAAAAAATATAATAAAATACGAAGAGAAAAGTTCAAACATTTTTAACTTAACTATAGAGATCTAACACGAAACAAGGAACACTACATTTGTTGTTGATGACACGACTTTGTACAGACGAAAATCATGTTTAGAACACTTTTCATGAATATACTAATTCTAACAGTAGCCATTGTTGAGCATTTTCCGATCTGTTCCAAAGGCTGCATTTCAATGTACTATGATACATTTTGTAAAGTTCTGTCTTACAAATCTGATTGAGTAAGCACGAAAGTCGTGTTAAACAAACAAGCCAAAACGAAGAGATTGTTTCAACACGACATTAATAGTTTTTTTCTCCAACAATAGAGAAGAAAAATATGAGAACAGTAGTGTCAAAAGTCAGAAGCTAATCACATCTATTGTCTTGGGTATAAACATAACGAAAAAATGAATGTCTAAATGTATTTCTAATGGCAGATTCAGTTTATTTTGATTTTATGGTTTCGATTTTTTTGGAACTGCTAAGGTTATAAAATAAATACATTGTCATCTTTTTTAAGAAAGATTAATAATACAAAAAAAAGGCTGCGAAAAAAAGTGCGTATTAGTCAGACTCCATTTTTCTCAAACTTGATAGATTTTGAACTTTTCTTTTACGAAAGTTATGAACGGAAAGTGGAAAATAGAAGAGGAAGCAACTCAACTTACAAAAGAATTGGTGAAAGAAAACGCTGTCTTGCGCTCTTTTTTAAAGTGTAAAAAATGACGATCTCTCGAACTTACAACAACTAAAATGCTCCGACTCATACATAAGTAATGGGTTTTGAAGGTGTATAACCTGTATAGGATCTCGAAGCACGTGAGGACCTTCGGTTAATTATCGTCGAAAGTGTTCTCGGAACTGAACTTAAGCTAGAAGAGAAAAATGTCACTTGTTTCTAATGAATAGTCAAAGTTTATATAGTTCAAATTTTTCTTAGTGGAAAAAGTTTAGCAAAACGACTTCTACCTTTTCATAAATTGCATTTGTGCGAGATTTTTCTTCTCCTCTCTTTTAAAATCGCTTTGCTATTGTCGGTGTATAGTATTCACGGACAGCTTAATCAATTATATGTCATAGGGCGAAAAATGCGTTAAAATAAAAGACTTACATTTCTAAATTCCTCAAGTTTCCAGATGACGTTCAGATTCTCCAAATTTAAAATTAGACTAAAAAACTGAATGTGATGAATCATTTTACAATTTTAAAGGGAAGACATTTAGTAAGCGCTTCGAAGTTTGCAGAAAATCCCGGCGTTTTACTTGTATTTTTTCTAGTCCGAAAGGTTCTAGTAGTATTTTCAGATCATTAGTCAAAACTGAATTAAACAAGCATAAGATAAGGTTGTTTGAGAAGAACAGTTTCACTAAAAGATGCCGGCCTTGTTGTACGCTTTAAGTCTTTCCTTTTTCATTCAACCGACCATTAGACATATTTAGCCTAATTTAGAGAGAATAAATAATTTTACTGCTGGACAAAAACATTTGATGATATCTACTGAACAGCCACCCCGAAAGTGGAGGTTATAAATGAATTTTTATTACTATCAGAAAACTATTTTACACAAGTTTTGTCTGATCTTTCACATCCTCAGCAACCATTATTGTCACTTATTAAAAGAACGTTTTCATAAATTTTCTTACTGTTTTATGGAAGCTGTACGTCTTACATTATCAATAATAACAAATGAACAAACACAAGAAAGAGTGACAGAACGGATTATGAATAAACACCGTTTTTATGATTCATTGAATATGATTGGTTCTGCTTACGGTTGTCGTTTACCTTAAAAATTGAAACGACAATTACAATTAATGTTGAATTTTTATGATAAACATAAACATTTATCAAATTTATTTTACCCTAAACAGATAACTGACTATTCGTATTCGTTATTCGTTTCAGCTATTGAACATGTAATCGCACAAAAGCGTACTGAAAACGAGCAGATCTTAAATGGTGTCGCCCGATCCATTTACTATCGCTACCTAAAAACGACACATATCACCGATAAAAAAAATTAAAGTTTGTTTAGAGTTAAAGAAAAGTGTTTTTTCGTATTCAGCACACTTGATACAGCACTTTCAGCACCTTGACTAGCCAGAGAGAACCAAGTTACTATTGAAACACAAAAATACGAGTCATTGTTGTATGTTTTGATCGAGCGTCGGTAGCCACTAGTAATCCACTAGTTTCCAAGGCTACCAATAGTCACGGCGTGGTAGTCCCTGCTCTCGTAAGAAGTCCGATACAAAGTCCGAACCGCGAAAAATAAAGGTCTCGTTTGACTCCCTTTTTGAAGAGAAGACCCCAAGCTACCAGCTCTAAGAAAAAGTAATACAATGCTGTTGGCAAGCTGTTACACACAACCTGGTTTTTCAAAGTTCTCGTATAAAACCTGTCAGAAAATCCTTCTAAAAAATATTTTGCATATGAAAACATGCCCCCACGTCTTCTCTTTCGCAGGGCGAGAACTGGAGCTCTCTAGCTGCTTTCGTTCAAAAGTTATTCAGAAAACGGTCACTCGCCTTTTGAAAGGGATATTAGATTGAGATTAAAATATGTCTGAGCTGTGCCCGGTTGATTCGGTGGTAAACAGACCAACTGGATTCGGGTTGCTTTTTTATAATTTACCATAGCTAGTTCATAGTCTTTTAACTCCTGGTGAACATTGCCTATATTCACTAGACTTGATACTATTTCTGGATGATTTTCTGGAAGTAATGCCATTTTAATTTCTAAACATTTATTATAATTATCTAGAGTTAAACTAAAATTTTCTTGGCCGCTGTAAATAGTACCAATATTTTGATAAACTTCAGCTATTTTAATATAATCATCGTCAAATATTAGTTGTAATAAATAGAGAGAGTCGAAGAAATATAATAATGTTTTATCGTATTGTTGGGTTCATTGCAAAACAATGCCTAAATTCATGTAAATGGCTGCATTAATAGGTGCATTGAAGAATGATTTCTTTTCTTCTAATTCAAGTGCTTTTGTCAAAGCTAAATAAGCTGTAACATAATCCATATTTTGTTTGGCAATTACTACGCGATTAATATAACATCGTGAAACACGAAAATCATCTGGTGATAACGAATTCAAAAATCTTTGATTATACTGTTCGGCATCGGTAAATTTTCCCATTTTTGCAAATATATTTCCAAGTGATAGAAAACTTGTTTCCTCGCCAATTTCATTCTTCATTGATTGAAATACTGGCTTCAATTCATTTTGTCCTTCTTCACTAGTTAAAAATAATTTAACTACCCATAGTTTCTCATTGTCATTTCTTCTAATATTCAGAATTTTAAATACACTTCCGAGCATGAATAAAATTTCTACTTCCGCATCACCGAATACACTCAGATGGCTTACAGAAGCAAGTGGTTTTGCACGTTTTAACTGGGTAACAGCTGCAGCTTCAAATAAGACCGGTTTTCAGGTGTTCGTAGATATCACGAATAAAAAAGCATAATCTAACCAAGATATTAATATCCTGTCGACGAAGTGCACTATTAAGTACACGATACAAGAACGTTTCACGAGCAGCACGAACAGCATCTGTCGACTTATATGTTTCTTCAAATTCGTTAATTAACGCCAACTCACTCTTGTTACCGACGTACTGTTTTCTACACATTTCAATCAAGTCTTCAAAAGCTGACTCAACAGGCTCTTTTTCCATTCGTAGTAAAACTTCATTTATTAATTGAAACCACATGAAATCGCTATTAAGCGTTTGAGATGAATCTTCCGCTGTTGCGGCAGTTATTATTGATGCTGGATTGAAAATAATCATTGATAGTCTTACATGTTCTTCAATTTCATTTTGTTTCTTTTGATCGTCTGATAGTTGTTTTACTAATTTATCTATGTTAGTTTTAATACCCTTTATCTAAATGCACGGATCGCAATAATAAGTTTTCGAGTAAATACCAAAGTTATAACTCATCTTTCCGTATTCCTTAGCCCACAATACATATTCATCTTTACCATAATAGACATATATGGCAAAAATTTGTGGTGAATCGTGCACTTCTGATACTAATTCCCTTCCGAGTCCGCCAGAAACAACTACTACAATTTGTTCTTCATGTGTTCTTCTTTGAATATAACTTTTACAGGTCTCAGTTGTTACTTGCATTGATTAAGACAATTAGAGTAACTGAAACCAAACCCTGTAACAGAATTTACCTTCCATTATGAAAGCTCATAGCATAGATGAATCTTCGAGAACAGTGATTAGAAAAACAAGGCCCCGAATCATTGCGTTCTAAATAGATCAAGAAGTGAATCAATTCGATTATCTCAAAAATCACACCGATATTCGAGTCGGAATTTCGTAAAAGCTTGAAATACAATAATACTATGCTCACCAATTTCCATTGGTAAGTTCAGTTATGGTCCAACTTCTTGATCTTGAATTAATGTTCGTTGAAAAAACGATGTTAAAACTTGTTCCATTTGATTTTGGTGAATATAAGAAGAAGAACCAGTGCATAATGGACGACATAGTGATATAAGATAATGCACGCATGCTATAAGATATTAGCTGGGTTCATAACCTCTCGTAGAATATTTTGAAGACCTTGAATATCATATGGATTATATTCGAAACAACGATAATTAGTAAAGTTTCCATTAATTAAAATTTCATTTGTTAATTTTAGAAATAAGGTAACAGCATTTAAATGTCCAGTAACATCTGATGGATCCCAAAATGTCACATTTTCGCCCATACCGATGCTTCCTGTTGTTGTTGTTGTTCATCCTCTTCATCATTTTTAATTATTAATTTGCGAAAAACGGCCCAATCCGGTTGACTATTGTCAAGAGAACCCAATAGATTTAATACTGACAAACAAGATGGTACAACATTATCGTTGTTGTTGTTGTTATCATCAAGAGTTAAAGACCACAAATGTTTCATTTCATGATAATCAATCACTGCTTGTACTAAATCAACGGCTTTTAATTGTCGTATAAATTGTTCAACTTTTTTGTTCATACCTTCAATCATTTGCTTGCGTATTTGAAGTAAGAAATGACCTTTAAATTCACGGATGAAGAGCAGAATCGTTAGAGAGTTTCCTATGCATATTGTAAAATTATCTCATTTCCTTGCCGAAAACGTTTTTTTATAAAACAGACAGATATT